CCGAAAGACCAGAAGACGTCGAGCGATGAACCATGGGACTCTGAAGACAGAACCATCACCCCTTGAAGCCTAAAAACAAACCCCCCAAGAGTCCAAGCAGCGTGATGGCCGGAGCCAACGCGGCTATGAACAAGTACAGAATTGTCGAAAGCGATTTCTGGAAGTTCCTTGGACCGGCTTTGGACCACGGCAAACCGAAAATCTTCACTTGAGCAAGGCGTGAACTTCGGCAGCTTACCCTGCGCTTGCTGGCCGAACAACTGTCTTACCAGGCAGCAATGACCTCTAAACATCAACCCTGCCGAACTCGCTCAATGCATAAGCCCCATCCCCAACTCTCACGCTCGCTGTTGGTGGCCCAAGTTTCTCGGGTCGGAACGCGTCTGTCCAGTCACTGCCATAAAACGGCGCACGCCGGCGCAGGTCCAACCGCAGGCCTGGAAGCGACGGTAAACCCTCAAACCTAAACCATCATCCGTCTTGGGCCTCCACACGATGGTGAAACCTGCAGCCCTTCCAAAAGCATACCTTCATGGGCCTTCAAAACAAATTTTAGAACTGCTGGCAGGCAGCGTTCTTTGGTTTGTGTAACAGCCCGGCTTAAACCTCAAGGTGTACCACCATTTGCCGATGATATGGTGTGCTGTGGGCATCAGCCTGCCCAATTTGGCTCCACGAACGGATCCACGCATGAGAGCTTTCGGGTGCAACACATTCAATAAAACAACTGGTGGAGCGAGAGCAGCTCTGAAAACTTAGTGCAGATACATCCTTCCAGAATCTTGGGCCTCCAGAACACATCATGCAACTGTTCGTTGCAAAGGCCGTTGCGCACCCGAAGCCAAATCCCACCCCACCCACAAACACACTCACATCCCCAGTTCGGAACAGTCGCCGCCAGCGATTTTCCCAGTGAACTCAAGCGGGCCCAAGTCCTGCGACCAGTTTCACAAGCTAAGGATAGCTGAGGCTTGGCATGCAGGGCAGTCAAAAAATCAACATTCGAGGGGCGTTCGAGGAACTGTGAAAACCATTTCGGAATCATGCTGCCCGGTGTTGAGCACGCGAACCGCCAACGTCTCAGAGTTGAAACCGCGAAGTTTTGACTGCAAAGGTTCTTGGGTCCTGACCAGATTCGTGCATCAAGGCCCCAAAACCAGCGCTGCTTAGACCCCGACACACATGCATCGAGGATGGCTAGGCAGGGTTTAACCGCAAAACCTGAAGCACATCGTACAGCACAAGCTTTGAACTCCCTAAACCCTAAACCCCCAGCCCTGAAGCCTCGAACACAGGCAAGCTGCGTTAGGAAGTGTGGTGCAACCGAAAGCTTGAAACTTTCAGAACAGGCCAGCTGCAGCTATTTGAATCCCATGAAACTGACCCTAAGGCCCAGGTCCTTGGTGGAGGAACTCCGGATGTATCCGGACTGGATTCGGAGAACTCCTGCTGCCTCGGACATGTTCCTCGAAGTTCCGGTGGGAAGCGAGCGACACTCCCTGTGAGCCAAAAAATGCCCTCGGCAAAGACGGACTGTGCTTCGAGTTTGGAATGTGGGGGCATTCACAGACCTTACGCATTCCACCCAAACCCCAGGTACATGGCAACAAACGTTTTTTGCGAAAACTTTACCGGGGTGTTATGCTAACACAGCTGACATCCGGTCTCTCCGCCAGTAAAAACATGAGAGGATTAAACTTTTTCTTCTTGGACACGTAATCATCTTCAACGCCTTCTTCCTCTGCTCCATTCTATTCCTGTGTTGTTTCTCTCACCTGCTTCCATCAGCTGGACATGGCAGATTCTATGGGTCAGCCATTTCCAACTCCAACACCGTTTAACCAACTTATCCCCCTACTTCGCGCTCATCAAAATTTTGACTCAGCTTCCCACCTTCATGCTATGAAGGTACACTTCTAGAAAGTGATACTTCCTTCGCTGCGCTCAAATTTCAGCTCCGGCTCCATCAAAGCTTGAAAGCCTTCCTCCATGGCAAGAATCTCCATATCAGCAACCTGCGAAAGCACGATTAGTCCTGGATTCCTGTAACGCGCCCTCAACCACAACCATAATGGTGCCAACTATAAACTTGGACAACCCTCAACCACTGACAAGCAACATACTTCCTCCACCGTGGACCCGAATACCTCAACAAACCTCGGCCAGCACAGCCGCCTTGCAAAGCAATCTAGCTGAATCGCAGACGCGAACAGCAAGCCTTCTGCGCTTGCAAAAATTCTACAAGGAACACAAGTCTGATAACCTCGATTGTTTACTCTTCTGGTGGAAATCCGTTCAGAACCAGGGAATTTGTTGATCCGCCCATACCTGGGGCAAATGTACACCGCCACTCCTCGCCAGGAGCATTGCTCCTGGCACTGCAGCCTCCTCTGTCACCCCTGATCCAACCCCTGCATCCTTCCGGCTGTCCAGCTTACTGTTCGCTCCTGCAATGACCCCGCGAGTGCACCCTTGCTCTGGCGCAAAGAGGTTCCTTCAAGCAGTGTTGAGGGTCTCTGGCTTGGGATTTCTGTTCGCTGAGATCCCCCAGCAGCGCAGGCACCTACTCGACTGTCTTCCTTTAAGGCGAAACGTTTTGCGGTGAATGCTGGACCAAACAGGGCCTACATCACTGACACTTGGATTTTTTGCCTTATGGCAAAATGGGGGTGCGAAGCACTCTCCCGCTTTGTTTACTGGGAAACCTTTCACTCAGAAGCTGGAACCAATCTGAAGTTTCAACCTAAACCCCAAACTCTGAAACCCCAACACTACCACTTCCACTTTTGCGACGACGATGACTTCGACTGCGACTACGACCACTACTACAACGACCACTACCAGTACTACTACTGCTGCTGCGACGAACACTGCTACCACTACTACTCCCTTCTACAACTACTGCTCTGGAAACTTGCACTGCCAACCACGACCACTACGACACCACTACTACTTTGGCGGACGACCACTCCAACGATGGCAACGACGACGGCAACACCACTACTACTGCTACTTTGTCGACGACATACAACACCACTCCTGAAAATCCTACGACAACAACAACAACCACCACCACCACAACAACAACAACAACAACAACAACAACAACAACAACAACAACAACAACAATAACAACAACAACAACAACAACAACAACAACAACAACAACAACAACAACAACAACAACAACAACAACAACAACAACAACAACAACAACAACAACAACAACAACAACAACAACAACAACAACAACAACAACAACAACAACAACAACACCAACAACAACAACAACAACAACAACAACAACAACAACAACAACAACAACAACAACAACAACAACAACAACAACAACAACAACAACAACAACAACAACAACAACAACAACAACAACAACAACAACAACAACATTTTTTGCATTGCACTCACTGCCAGAATCAGCATGTGGACCTCTGATCACTTTGGATCCTCGGCACGTCGGCTACTCTGTATCCGCCTTGGGAGCTCCAGCAGTCTTTGCTAGTTCGTACTTCACGCCCCTCGGGGCTGCTGAAGATTGTTGTGCACAGCTATGTTCGAGTATGTGGAATGCATCCGCCCCTCGGGGCTGCGATAGCGCTGTGCTGGCTCGCTTCCTACTGGCTCACCTGCACCCGCGACTGCTGCAGTGCCGGCTGGCCCCGATGTTGTGTTGCAGGTTATAGCTGTCCGCTAGCTGAGTTTGGTGTGATTAAGGCGGGCAAGGGTGATATAGAAGGTCTCACCCGCCTTTGTTATTTCACAGTCCGGCCTTTTGGACTTCGAGAGGATCGCTTCCTCCAGATTGCCAGGTCTCACTACCTGCTATACTGAATCTGCTTTGGCAGAGTACTTAAGGATATTCAGGAGGAAACCTCCTAATCTGATGCAATGAATCAAAGAAGAAATTGAAGTTGGCACGAAGGCAGCCTCCGATATCAAGTACTCAGCACTGCAAAAGAGTGAAAAATAAGCGCGGCTACTCCGACACCCTACTGTGAGTCACTGCGTCCAGCACCCACGCACCAGCTGTTTAGCGAGCCGTACCTCTGCTGAGGCCGACACTCAGCGTTCCTGTCTAGTGACGTCTCACACAGGTAACGCTACAACAAACAACTGGCAGAGAGCCGCAGGCAGAGCGCACCAAGGTGGCCTTGCACGTTCCAAGAAGGATGTCCAAGTTGGAGGCAGGGTAGCTAAGTTTGCGAAGTCTGACCTGGGACGCCTTGCGCGGCTCCTGGGGCCAGCGCTGCGACAGGGCAAATTGCATTCCTGGTCGAGAAAATGTGACTCCAACTGACCGAACTTAATCCGAGAGGAGCATGGTGCATCTTGGCGGATCACTATCATCAGCTAGGTGCGCAACTCCATCTCTCCAAAACCCCGCTCGGTAATGTCCAGAGCTCCAGTCTTCGCCGATATGGATAATAAATGCATAGAGGCTAAAGAACACTGCTTCTGTTGAGGTTCCGTTATCTTGAAACATTGGCATCTTAAGAACTGTGGGTAAGTTTTGATTTGCTGATCAAATATTTGAATTTGTAAGCAAATGAGTCTTGTATCTGGAAGCAAGGCAAACACACTACCCCTATTCGTCCATTGTGTTACTGATTGCTGAAGAGTCGAGAGTCCATCCGGCGGCTCGGGTAGACACAGAATCAAGCCACCTTTTTCCTTAACACTACTCCGGTGCTGAGATATGAACTCGCGCCTCCCATTTATCTGATGAAAGATCTGGAATACGCTGAGAGATATGCAACAGAAATTGAGATGCATCCTTCTGCCTGGGTCGTAATCGCCATCCTGCTAGCAGCGGACGAAGATGTCGCAACCTCCGAACATCCGCATGAGAGGATCTGCCATTCAGGGAACCTATTTCCGTTAGGATGGAATTTAAAGAAGGATCTGGGAACAGTCTGACAAGAGAGAGATAAGGATATGAACGACTGTGTGTGCATAGCACAGTTGATGCGGATTATGATAAGCTAGACGCCAGGCAGCGTCTTGTTGCTCTGAAGCTCCTGTTGCAGCGCAACAATCCTACCTCTAAGTCCCAGATACCACTGTATGTTCTGATCCGGGTTGTACTTCTGACAGGCATCTAGTGCGTCTTGATAGTTTTTCATCTGGCTGATCAAAACTGCTTGAGGAGTCTGAACCTTATATTGCTCGAACAGAGTCTTCGTGTCAATATGGCTGTAGTGCTGATGTTGCTTAAAGATGGATCTTAGCATCCTCGAGTATTTACTCTGAAGCTTCTGAAGACCTGATGAGGTGATGCCAGTGGCCACAAGCCCATGCAAGAGTGAGGATTCCACATAGACCCTCCAGATCTCCAACTTCTTTGAAGCCTCCAAGGCCTTAGTGGAGCACAGGATGTGTCGAAGTAGCTCAAACTTGCCTTGAGCTTGGGCGATCCTATAGTCAACAGTCTGGTCTTTGTAGGATCCATAGCTGAGCTGCACCCCTAGATATGTTAGTTTGTGATGAATCGGAATCTTATGTCCTGAGGGAAGGACGATGTGCAACTGCTTCTCTTTGCGCATCGTGTGCTTCTTGCGAAAGATGGACTGCTGAGTGCCCTGAACCATTAGCAAGGCTTTGGACTTCGTTGGATTGACTTCCAGCCCCACGTCCTCAAGAGACTGAAAGAGAGCCTCTATTCTGAGCAGGACTTTCTGAAGTTCAGGAAAGCTCGAGAAGGTTTCCTGGAGCAGGAAATCGTCTGCAAAGACTGTTAGGATGTCCCTAGCTTGCTTGCTATCTGGGCCCCATTTCTGCTCCATTCTGCTCATGACTAGAAGTGTCAGCGCAGACCACAATGCCGGGGCTAGCTTGCAACCTTGTTTGATTCCTGAAGAAGTGGGAACTTGAATCTCTAGTCCACTTGTGCCCATGTTGCAGGAGGTCTCACTGTGTAGTTGAACTACCAGTTCTTTCGTAACAGGGTCTGTTCCCAGGCGATTCAAGGCAGCTACCAGCTCATGTCTATTAACAGAATCAAAAGCTTTGCTCAGATCAACCGAAATAGTAAGTGCCCCTGACAGCTGAGCCTGCCTGGCTCCGCGTTGGGATTTGTGCAGGTCCCTGCGATGCACTTGACGGAGCTGCTGCACGAAATCAAGGTGCTGACATGCTTTCGCGATGGCGTCCCGCACCCCCCTCTGCCTGAGGCAAATTGAGGCTGAAGCTGTGAGCTCTCCTGCAGTGCTGGTGCAATGCGAGTCTTCACTGCGCCTGCTAGCACTTTGCCTGGCACGCTGATGACTCCTATGGGCCTCAGGTTTTTCATGGCGGTGGCTGGCTTGCCCGGCTTGGGGATCCATGCAATTCGAGGGTCCTTTAGATAAGGAGAAATGTCAGATTGGGACACCTCAGAGTTGATTGGACCTGCTATGTGTTCGTGGGCTTCAGGACCTAACTCTTCCAAGCTGATACTGGGGCTGAGGTGCTGGGGACTGCTTTCCCCACTGGCACTGTCTTGATTTGTGAGGATACCTGCAAGGCGGTGATCGCTGCTCTGGGCACAGCAGCTACTGAGTGCAAAGGAGAACTTTTGGAGAAGATTTGACTTGAGTATTCGCACATGGTTTTTGGTGAGGCCTCCGTATCAAGCGGCTCACCTGCTTGATCCCTCAGTTGACTCTCTGCACTGGGCGCCACGGAGCAAGTTTCCTGAGAGTATGAGCCAGTTTGTGGGATTGTTGCCTTTTGTCTTCCTGGCTTGTAGAAGCAACTGCTCTTGCTTCTCTAGCTTTCTTTGTTTTTGCTGTTTTTTGAAAGTCCGCGCCTCCTCCTTGCTGTCCTCCACAAGCTTCTGGCATTCTGAATTATGCTCGGTTCCAGCCCTCTTGTGCGCCTGGATTTGCCGCACTTTCTTCCAGTATTCCTGATGAATAGGACCTGCTACTGGCTGAGACTTGCGTGGAGGAGGAGAGTGCTCAGCTGATACACCATCATCCAGTTCTTGCCAAGACGGTCTCACTTGCATTGTCCTCACCACTGCTTCCGTCAGACGATGTGAGTATGCCTGCCAGTTGTCATCTTTCCGCCGAAAGCTCGCATCCAGGGCTGTGGCATCAAACGGGCGTGGCTTGCTGGGTGTAGGACTGTAAGGAGGAATGAACAGAGTGGCTCGCACTGGAAAGTGTTTTGATCCATCTCTGTAGGCACCACAGGAAAGTTCTTATCCGAGCAGGCCTCCTTGGATCTCCTCCGAGCATCGTGCAGTCTGACCAGCAAAAAATCGATCTGAGAGGAATATGTGCCATCACTGTTAGCATACGCACTGCGATGGCCAGAAGCCATGTGTTCAGCGCAGTTAGTCCACAGGATTTGCAGAACGAGGGCAGTGTTCTTCACATCCGCATTTGCAAACCGTGCTCGATGAGGCACACTTGGTCCGATATGAGGACGGTCAGTTACCGCATGCGCATTGAAATCCCCAGCCAAAATCAAGAAGTCACGTTGTGGGACTCTCTGTATTCGATTTTCGAGCTGTGTCATCACGTCCTTTCTCCTGCCTCTGTTTTCCGTCTTCGAGGAGCTTTATCCCAGACGTGCTGGTACAGGTTCAGGAGATGTATTCTGGATCTCTACCACGGGATCATGACGTGCTGCAAATGCCCTGGAACTATGGAAGTGCTGCGAATTTCTGAAAGAGGAGCCAGTGAGCTATGCACCAAGACAACCAGGCCCGCCTTGTGTCTGCTTGTTGAGCCACAGGTTAGGACTGACCACGGGCCTGAGCTGTAGACCTGGTCCTGCTGCCAATGCGATTCCTGCAGGAAAAGATTTTTGATGTTCTTGCACTCTGTTGTTGCCAAAAGGGCCAGAATCTCGTTCCAAACTCGACTTGTAATTGAGTCTGCGTTCCAAGTAAGGACTTCCATGTCAAATTTGTGATGGATCTGTCTGTTCGGTTGAAAAGAACGCCTCTCCGCTTTCGCAGGTAACGCGAATTGTCCTTCATGAGCTCCTAGAGCCTGAGCTGTCAGAAGACGGCCTTAGTAATGCTGCTCCCTTCGCCAGGGCAACTTTACAAGCTCTTTGGTAGCTTCGCTTGCCGGTTTTGTTCATGGTCAGCTGACTTCGCTGCGCATGCTGCTCAGCTTCATCGGGGGGCGCTACTTCCCGAAACCTTCGATTCTGATCCATGGCTGGACCCTGGGACTTGGGACCCACGCACCCAAGAAAGCTCGCTACGGCTACGAGAAATAAAATCCTCATCTTGGGCCAGAATCTTACAACAACAACAACAACAACCACAACAACAACCGCAACAACCACAACCCAAAAACCAACCACAACAACCACAACCACAACCAGCAACCTTGGCGGGCATCGAGGTGAAAAATGACTTGAAATGACGGCTAATTCTATGTCAAGCAGAGCTGTGTGTGGAAGCAGCTGCAAGCATGGGAAACAAATCAACTGCACACAACAAGGAAACACGAACCTGGAACTTGAAAGTCCTACACCTGGAGGAGACCCCTCAGTAGCACCTGCGAATGCATCCACTCCTGTGGATATGGAACTAGACTCTGGTGTACGAAACAAGAGAGTGGAGGGTGACATTCCACAGTAATGTGGAAGTTTTGTAAGTGAGGCTTGAAGCCGGGAAGGCAGCCCGGTCAACCAAACTTTGGTTTTTGCTTCGTCAGTCCATGAGCAAGTTCCAACGTGGGCAGGATTTGGTGCATCTCATCGAGGTGAAGCAGATGGGAGCGAGTGCCGGATACGAACTCTGGCGAAGTATCGCTTCCCGGAGTTGCTCATCGGAGAACAAGAGGGAATCTTGTGCCTGATGAAGCACTTGGATTCTGAGACCAAGAGATATCTGCTTCTCCATCACTCAACGAAGAGCATGGGTGAGCTGATGACTGGTTTGCAGTTTTACGACGAGCAGCTTTGTGTGATGGACTTCCAGAGAGAAGGAACATCCGGGTATGCGAATGCCTTCAAGGGTGGCAGGGGCGGAAAGGGCGACAGAGACAAGAGCAACAAAGGCCCCAAGGGCAACAAGGGCAACAAAGGCGAGAAAGGAGAAAAGGGACAGAAGGGTGGCAAAGCGAAAGGAAAGGACAAGAAAGGTGACCAAGGCGGAAAAGGAGACAGAGCTCGGAGCAAGAGCAGAGAGGCGAAGAAGACAGATATCTGCCGGAACTGCGGGAAGACTGGACACTGGGCGCGCGACTGCTGGGCACCTCCGAAGGACAAAGCCGCAGCGGCGACGAGCCAGGCCGTTACAACGCAGCCAGAGGCACCATCATCTTCATCGTCTACCTCGGCGAAAGCAGCAGCGCAGCCCACAACCAAAGGTAGTGGAAAAGCACGGTCATCAATCAAGACGTTTCTGGAAGGATATCACTTTGGTATGATGCTCACGAACCAGGTGGTTAGTTTTCCTTCAGATGATCGCATTTACTGGTTGATTGACTCTGGTAGTTCGTTCCACATCATCACGAGAGAGACGCTTGAGAGCGACCACGTGAAGATCCTGAGTTGGTTGGAAGGACGCCCTAAGTCCTATGCGGAGACTGCGACTGGAGATTCCGTTGAGATTGGCGGATCAACACACGTTTTGGTGGAAGTTTGCTTTGAAACCACCACCCCAGCATCATCGAAGAGCAGTTCTGAGCATGAGAGTGACGCTGTGTACATGTGTAAAGCTAGGTTTGAGGCAGTCATTTCCGATCAGATCAAGCACAATTTGCTGAATATCAATTTGCTTTGTCAGAACGGTGGTTGGGAACCGACGCTGTGCGTACAGCAAGGCGGAATCACTGTCCGCAAGCATGGCGTAACTTTGAAGCCCACCTTGTTTGCCTCAGTAAGTTGGCTTGCGTCAGTACGAAGTGACCATCCTTTAGCTCTGAAGCCTCAGGATTTGATCGCCAAAACGGAACAACATCGCCGAAATCGATCTCGAATGTCATCCGCTGATCGTGATTTTCATCGTTCGACCTCGAATCACGGTTTTCGAAATTCTGCGAGAGTGTGTGTTGAGCCCGAAAACCCTGAATTGCTGGACATTTCATGTCTTGATGAGATGAGTGACTGCAAGGGACATGTGAGTCATGAGCATGCTGACCTGGACCAAGGAGAGACTAAGGAGAAACTAAGGGCCGTTGATGAGCTTTTGAGCGCCGCGCCTAGTTCCTTTGAGTCTTTCAGTCATGCGGACATGCCAGTTTTCCATGAGCTTGACAGTCATACATGTTTGTTTTCTTGTGCAGACAACACCATCATCTCACACGGGGAGCAAAACAACAACAGCACACCAGCAGTCGAGAGGCTTGTGCATGAGTTGGACAGTCGTGCGTGCTTGTTTTCTTGTGCAGACCACAACATCACCACACATGGGGAGCAAAGCAACACCACACCAACAGTCGAGTGGCTTGTGCATGCGTGTGACAGTAGCACCACAGCAGCAAACATTCCCTTGTCGTGTTTTGATCATGATTTGCAAGAGCAATCTCCCAAGTACCAACCCGAAAGCCTTGAATGCCCAAAGCACCAGGAGCCACCGTCTTTCGTGGTAGACGCCTTAGCGCACCATGGAAGAGGAGCCAATGGAGGTGGAGCCAGCCATGAGCGAGACAATGGTCCGCTCTATCAGCGAGCTGGAGGGTATGCGAGAGGGAGCGCGAGCGCGCAGGATGTTACTCGTGGACGAGCACCGGGTGAACAGAATCACCGAGGAAGAGGAGCGACTCGGTCCCCTACAAGACGAGGAGACTTCTCCGATCACGATCTATGTTCCATCACCCCCGCCATCCGAAGAGGAGACGGCGGAAGGAGCCGAAGATGTGGCAATGGTGGAGAAGCCATCGTCCCATCGAGCCAGAGAGCCCACGATGGTGGAGCGGCCGTCTTCCCACAAGGCCACAGCGCCCACGCTGATGCGGCCAACTCCCAAGACGCTGAGGAAGAAAGAGGCCCCGCAGAGGGAGGAGAAAACCCCGGAGGAGAAATCCGGCAGCTACGAGATGATGGGCAACGACCCAGAAGCCTGGCGACGCTTCATGGAGGCGAGAGCAGCCAGGGGCGCTGCATTGCAGGCAAAGAAGGAGCACCCCGTGCCGAAGCTGGAGTCCAAGAAGAAGAAGAAGCCGGCAAAGGAGCGGAAGCCTATGGAGGAGCGGCCCGTCGTTCGGGAGCCGAGTGGGCCACCTCCCGACTACCTCACCGGACCGACCCGGAAAGGCAAGCGTCGCTTCGCGAGCTCCGGCTGGTTGACTTGGATATGTCGCCGCTTCGAAGGGTCATGGCAGGCACTCGTGAACAACGATGCCAACGACCCTTATTGTCTGGTCTGTCAGAAACGAGCAGCAGAGTCCCACCTGATGTCGGAGCCGCATACCGAGAACATGAAGAGCTACATGGCGGTGGCGCAATCCGAACAGGTGCCAGTCCGGCAGGTCCCTGTCGACTGGAACACCTGGAAGCAGGCGATGGACGAGCCATTGGAGCTCGAGATTGGACCTCGCCAGGGGAGAGGGTTCGCAGTCCACGCCCTCGGACCGGACAGCTCCATGGGATCCGAGACCGTACCGGGACCAACGACCCCGGACAACGACATGGAGATTGTGATCACGGAGGAGGCTGTGCCAGAACCCTCTACAGCGCCCAAGGCAGTGGGTGCAACGATCTCGGTGTCGGACTCCGACGAGGACAACTGGGGGGAGTGGCGACCAGCAAAGGCTGGAGCTGCGACACCGGATGCCACCCGCGGGGCGAGCATACCAGAACCTACAACCCCGCCAGCGACGTGGCAGCAACCTCCCATGGAACCGATTGCAGCCAACGCCACGGTCACAGAACACACAAGAGGCCCGACTCCACGGCATGGACGCAGCGAGTTGAGGACCTTATCTGCAGGTCCATCTGGAAGCACAGGGATTGACGGAGGAGAACCTCACGGCCTTGGGCCCTCTCCGAGACTCCTACCTCCGTATGAGGGCGACAGAGTCTGCACAGCTTCCGCTGTCTCTGGAAGGAGCAGAGGGGAACCTACGTGCCACAGTGCAACGTGTCGCCGCACTGGGACTGCCTCCGGGCACCTCGGCAGCGACAACCGCAAGTGGGGGTATGGGTCATAGAATGGCCGCAGAGGTGTGCCTACTGGGGATGGGCAAGCGCCCGTTCGTTTGCAAAGCAACGAACCCATTACACCGGCGAAGTGCACGGCTGTGTTTCAGGCTTGGTAGGCAGAGATGGATTGCCTATCCGGAAGATCTGGAAACTGATGTCGAACGATGAACAGTTTGTGCGAACAATGTCCGAAACGTTTGCATGTACCTGCAAGGGAGATCATTCACGAAACTTTGATCTCAAAGAGACGCAGCACTATCCGCCAGCTTTCGCGGACGTCGCCCTGGAAAGCTTGCGACTGCGGTAATTTGAGCCCACCCGCCCGCCCTGGCTTGCCCGCCCACCCACCCAGCCAGGTTACTTTGCGAGAGTTAGTCGACCTCCAGCGGTCTGAAGCAGTGCAGCGGTCTAGGACTGAGGAATGCGCCGGCATGCGCGCCCCGGCGAGGAGCTTAGGCTTTGCGTGGAGCTTAGTTGACGTGACCAACAGTGAAACTATTGGTCATGAGGGGGAGTTGATATATGTGACCCTCCTAGTTTCCCAGTTGACACGTGATGTGCACTTGAGTTGTCTGCTATGAGTGTGAAACATAGGCACGAGGACATGTCAGGCAGTGCAGATTTCTTTTGGCTTGGTGAGACCTTGTTTTGAGTAGGAAGAACCGTTTTCTGTTCGTTTTCTCGAAACTCGTTTGTCGGAACTCGTTTCCTGTTTGTGACCTGGTATTTGGTGACCAGAAGTGACTCAAGCCAGTTTAGGTCTGCACAGAGCTCAGCAGAGCACCTAAGAGGTGCTAGGAACCTACCCACAGTGTTTAGGAGTAGAAGTTCCATGGCTGAGTGTTTTTTACCTGAAGTACCTTTGTTTTCCCATGTCTGGCAGACGGTGTTTGAAGCTGGAGAGCCGTGCTCGCATTGGCTCAAGCCGAGCGGAGCTCGAGTAACTGTGAACAGCGCAGTGAAGAAAAGAGTCCGCACTTTGTGCTGTGAGGTTGAGTGTAACCTTGACCTGAGGTCCCTTCCAGGCACCGCAGGACGACAAAGAACGACGGGAGGAAACTCCTTTTCTTCGACAGGCTACGCAGAACGACCAAAAAGAAGGGAGGAGAAGAATGTAGGGTGGAATTTAGAACAATTCACTTTCTCTTTCCTCTTCTAGGGGCTACAAGCCTGGGAGGGTGAAATCTAGGCTAATCCTTGTTCCTCTCTTTTTCTACACGAAGCAGGACGACGACAAAGGGTTGACCAAAATGGAACAAAAAGAACACTGATCGATTTTCAACGCAACGTGGAAGTACCGTTGAAAAATGAAAGATTCAAAGGGATTTTAAGAGATCTGAAGAAGGCTTGAAGGGTTAACCAAAACTAAAACAAAAAGGGTTTTTCTTGAAGCCCTTTTAAAGCTCCCCTTGTTTGACCCTTTGCCTCCCCCCCTCCCTCAAAGGGACCCCCTTTGCAGGGACCCTTTGAAGGGCTTGAGGACTTAAAGGGGGGGCAAAAAGGGCTCCTTTGCCAAAGGGGGAGGGCCCATTCTCACCCCTTTAATCCCCCCTTAAGAAGCTTCCTTAAACTTCCCTTCAAGCCCCCCTTTAAGCCCTTTAAGCTCTTCAAAGCTTCCTTCAAAGCCCCCTTAAAGCTCCCTTTAAGCCCCCCTTTAAGTCTCCCTTTAAGCTCCCCTTTAATTCCCCCTTTAAGCCTTCCTTTAAGCCCCCTTAAACTGCCCTTAAACCCTCTCTTCTCCAAAGCCCTCCTCTTTGCCCCTCCTCAAGCCCCCCCTTAAGTCCCTCCCCTCAAGCTCTCTTGAGTCCCCTTTGAGCAAAGGTGATGGGCCCATCAAGCCAACCTGCATGTTAATAAAATTGACATGCTGGCTGAGCTTCGCTGACGCCCTGCGCGCTTGGTAAGAAACTGTCCAAAGACATGTTAACGTTGTTGTCCTGCATGCTGGCTCAGTGTGCAGTTGTGGAACTCCGTAGTTGGCTTGGTTTTAAATTAAAAAAACGCTAAGACACTCTTTAGTGTCAAGACACCCTTTGGTTCAATTTAGTGGTTTAAAGACATTTGGTCTCGAAATTTTGGTTTTCTCAATAATTGAACTTAAAAACCTTGAAAAGTGCTGAAACCTGCGTTTTGGAAAATGTGAAAAAGTGCGTGGGTGTGCTTTGCACCACGTCTGTCAAAAGCACTTGCGCAAAGAAAAAGATGCTTTCATTCGTTAATCAGTCTTTGAGCATCTGAAAAGTCACATCTGGGGGATTCACCTTGTTTAATTCCACTGAGCTCAGAGCCTGGTTTGGCAGGCTTGCTGTTGCTGTTGTGGTGTCGTTTGTTGGAGCTGGTCCAAAGTCTTGTGCCGGAGGGCAGCCGTTTATTTGGCCAGGCTCGTGTCTCGGTCGATTCTCACCACCTCACCTTGTTCCCAGAGCGTCCTTCTTTCGGGTTTGGGGGTTCAAGTTCACCATTTCTTTATGTCACCATTTCACCATTTCACCATTTCACCATTTCACCATTTCACCATTTCACCATTTCACCATTTCACGATTTCACGATCTCACCATTTCACCATTTCACCATTTCACCATTTCACCATTTCACCATTTCACCATATCACCATTTCACCATTTCACCATTTCACCATTTCACATTTCACCATTTCACCATTTCACCATTTCACCATTTCACCATTCCACCATTTCACCATTTCACCATTTCCCCATTTCACCATTTTACCATTTCACCATTTCACCATTTCACCATTTCACCATTTCACCATTTCACCCCCCAACCTCCCGCTCTTTCTTTAATCGTTCCGGCTTGCTTCAGAGTATACGCATTTTTTTTGAAACTTCTACTGCCAAGATGCCAGCATTGATTTGCAGCTTCTGGAAACTCAGAAATGCTGCTACTTACAGTATTTCGAGCCTCTGAAAGCGCAGAAATGCTGCTATTTACAGTATTTGCAGCTTCTGGAAACTAAGAAATGCTGTGGGGTACAGTATTTCCAGCCTCTGAAAGCGCAGAACTGCTGCTATATACAGTATCTGCAGCTTTTCTGGAAACTCAGAAATGTTGCTGTTTTCAGTAGTTCCCGCATAAATGCTGTGTTTTTTCGGTATTTGGAGCTTCCGAGCGGCCAGAAATGCTGCCTCCGCTCCGCTTGCAACAGGCCTTCGAAGCCTTCAGTAAATTTTTTTGGTCTCAAATAGGTTTTTTCTTGATCCGCTTATAAATAAAGTGTTTTTTGATCCCAAATAGTTTTTTTGATCCCCTACCCCAACGGGGGGTTTTAAACTTTCGGCTTGGGTCTGGGCGCCTATACATCGTGTGGAACACAAGAATGTTCGTAGACTGGTTTTGTTGCTGGGAGCGCTCCCGATTCTCGCTGTGTGTGGGTTTAGGGTTTAGGGTTCAGGGTTCAAAGTTTAGGGTTTGGGGTTGCTCAACATTTTCAAGCTCGCATCATCCTCCATGCCGAAGGCATCTTGTTTGGCTCACAGGGAGTGTCACTTCTCACCCGAACATCGAGGAACATGTCCGAGGCGGCAGGAGTTCTCCGAATCCAGTCCGGTTATATCCGGAGCTCCTCCACCAAGGACCTGGTTCGTTTTTGGGCTTTTGGGGTTTTGTCCAACCACACCACAGGCATCTGAAGACATGACTTATGAACGCAGAATAAGTAGCTGGCCACCTGTCAGTTTTCAGCACTTTCGGTTGCAAAGCTTCCTGCGGTGCTGGCCCGGGCTTGGGGCCGTGCTTCAGGTTTTAATTGCGGTTGTTCCCCAGGTTTCTGGTTTGTGGCGTGGTTCAGGGCTTACGGCTTCTAAACTCGAAACCCTAAACCCCAAACCCGAAAAGCCCTAAACCCTAATACTCCAAAGCCCAAACCTTAAACCCTACCTGAAGATGACAAGTATGCTGCTCCTTGAGCCGGAGCTTCGAGTCTTTTTCCCTACCCAGAACCTGCTACGCCTCGGCCACCCTCAGCTCGCGAAGCTAACCGCAGGACTTGGGGCCGCTTGAGTTCACTGGGAAGATAGCCGGAGGCGACGGTTCCAAAAACGGGCAGAGCTGCGTGTCGCGAAAGGGTGCGCAAATGTCTGTTGCAACCGACAGTTTTGGTATGATACGTTTTAGACACGGGGAGCATGTAGCTGCAACACGTTCCCGGCTCGTTTGCTGCTCTCGCTTCACCGTTTGAATTGTTCTCTTGAATGTTGCGTTCTTCTGCATGGATCCGTTCGTGAAGCTAGTGGGCAGACAGGAAGCTGATGCCCAAAGCAAACCATTTCGTCAGCAAATGTGGTAAACCTTGAGCCTGAAGCTGTGCCATTGCAACAGCACCACCTGCGAACAGTTTTTAAATGAGTTTTCTAGGTGCATGCAAACTCTTTTGTAAGGGCTGCAGGTTTCACCATCTTGTGAAGCCAGATCTGGTTTTTGACCTGTGTTTTGTTTGAGAACAGTTGCAGGCCTTCGGTTGGACCTGCGCCGGCGTGCGCCGTTTTATGGCAGTGACTGGACAGACGCGTTCAGACCCGAGAATCTTGGATCGAGTAGCGCGCGTGAATTTTTTTACGGATGTGGCAGGGCTTACCGTTGCAGGGCTTGCGGCTCCTCGTGTGGTGGACTGCTAGAAGTGTGTCGTGTTTGCCAGTGAGCGCCAGGTAAGCTGCCGAGATTCATCTTTTTGCACTAGCGAAGATTTCCGGTTTGCCTTGGTCCAAAAAGCGTGGTCCAAGGAACTTCCAAAAATCGCTGGCGACCATCCTGTACTTGTTCATAGCCGCGTTGGCTCCGGCCATCACGCTGCTTGGACTCTTGGGGGTTTAGGCTTCCGCCTTCAGAGTCCCATGGTTAATCTTTTTCTTGTCTTTTGGGGGGCGAAGCAGCAGCATTCTGCATGCATTGGACTTATAAGACTCGACATGCACGATGCAGCCAGGCAAGCAGCAGCATCATGCGTGTAATCACTTGTCGAGCAGCCCATGCGGCTAACCGAGAAAGGGCTGCAAGACGGCTCTGCAAACTTTTCCTTTGCCTTGTCACGCAGAGGAAGCTCGAACTGGAACGTTCATGGTTTGCAGGTTTTCCTCGTTGGAGAGGGCTATAGACATTCAGGGTGTGTAGGCTGTGTACGTCAGGGTTTACGGAGGTTTCGCGCACGCTCGAGGTTTGGAAGCCGCTTCCTCGACGGAACCAACGGCCAGTTCGGAGTGCCCTTGCATTGTCGTCCAGCCTCCAAAGCCATCCCCCCAAGTACTACTTGCTCGCAAGCCTGAAGACCCCAAACTCCACAACCATTACCACCAAGCTCGCAAAGTCATCCGAAGTCAGGTGCGGCGGTAGACCTTCAAGACTCACAGCCCGAAACCTGAAGCTGCAACGGCAAAAACAGAAAGGTCTTGAAGTAGACATCTGCTTGAACTCATCATCGAAGTTGGATTGGAACAGAAGCCTGTCGACAGAGATCCCACCCATGCAGAGCAAACCAAGAACCCTGAACGTCAACCACCCCTGTTCCCCAGGTACTGGAGATGATCATGAGCACGTGCATCAGTGGCATGCTCTTCTCCACGCCTCTTGCTAAGTCATTGACAGTACCCGAAGCCCGAATCCCTTGAGCCCTTTAGCCCACCAGATTGACTCAGGTTTGCTGGCCAGCCGCTCTCAATCCTTGGCGCGACCGGGCCGTTCTGAGCTTACCAAGGATGTGCCTGAACCCACATGTTGTCCTGTGCTGAATGAATGGGTGCATGAGCCGGTCGCTGAGAATAGGGGCCTTCCAAACACGAAGACCCGGAATTTCACTTCACGCATCCTTCGTGGCCCTCGCAATTCAGTACTAAACCCTGGACCCTAGACCATAAACCCTAAACCCCAAATCCTAAAATCTAAATTCAAATCCCTAAACCTTAAACCCTAAACCGCCAAGTCACTCGACATGCCCAAGTCTCAGTCCCCAAGCGCCACAACCTTTCACTTGCTCGCCAGTCCCATCCTTTGAGATTCCTGGCCGAATCCCTTACAGGGTATCTTTGGGGCCCGAATTCCCTCATTCCCTGCTGTTTTGCTGAGGTTCCTGGCCTACAGCCTGGTGTGCTATGACCTGGCCGTGGCCGCGTCTCGGTGACCAATTCTTCGGGGGGCGAAGTGAAGCTCCTACCCCCAGCCGTAAGCCCTAGACAACGAGTCTTAAACCCTAAACCCTAAACCCTGAACCCTAAACCATAGGCCGCCCGCGCCAGGCGGCGGCCGGTACAACTGAACGCTACCGCTTCGAGATCTGCTTGCTTTGCCAAGCAGATCGAGCTTGCCACACCTGATGCATCCCTGCTAGCCATAGGGCACAATGTAATAATGGATTAACCCTAAACCCCCGACGCGCGACCCTGGCGGGGGAGGTCGGGCCGAAGAAGCTGTTGCGCCCCCGCCAGGCTGCCCCCGCCAGGGTTGCCCCCGCCAGGGTTGGGTTTTTTTCGCTTGCCAGGGTTGCCCCCGCCAGGGTTGCCCCCGTTAGGGTTGCCCCCGCCAGGGTTGCCCCTGCCAGGGTTGCCCCCGTCAGGGTTGCCTCCGGCAGGGTTGCCCCCGCCAGGTTGCCCCCGCCAGGGTTGCCCCCGCCAGGGTTGTTCCAGGGTTGCCCCTACCAGGCTTGCCCCCGCCAGCCCCCGCCAGGGTTGCCCTTGTGCCAGGGTTGCCCCCGCCAGGGTGACAGGCTTGTCCCCGCCAGCTTACTAGGGTTGCCCCCTCCGGTTGCCCCCCCGAAATTGGCCTCGCCGCCTCTTCAGGAATTGTGCACCTGTATGCTTCGTCGTTCTTCTGTATGAAGGGCCCTGCCAAAGTTCTCCATTAGTGGCCCCCGCCAGGGTCCAGACATATATATATATATATATGTTTATACCTCACCTTGCCCCTGCCAGGGTTGCCCCCGCCAGGGTTGCTTGTCTCCGAGGTTTGCCCCCACCAGGGTTGCCTCTGCCAGGGTTGCCCCCCCCCAGGGTTGCCCCCCGCCAGGGTTGCCCCCCGCCAGGGTTGCCCCCGCCAGGGTTGCCCGCCAGGATGCCCCAGGGTTGTCCCCGCCATTTTTCATATTTTTAATCTACATTTTCTATCTTCTAATATTCCTTTCAGGAATTCCACTAATAATGAAATGGCATTTTTTCCTTGCATTATGAGTAAAGATTTCTATGGAAAGATATTAATTCTCGATCTATATCTTCTTCAAATTCATTTCGGCTCTCTTCTTTCTCACATCCAGTGAATGCAGTAGAAGCATGTGGATTACTTACTCCTTTACATATCGTACCTGAATGGTATTTCTTATGCCAAATGCTATGCTAAAAGCTGTACCATATAAAATGCAGGATTCATTATCTTTCATCCTATTTTACTTTATGAGAAGTCTTTCAATGTCATTCTATTTTATAATTAAGACGTCCAGTAGATTTAATGGTTTTTATCGCAACCCCGCCGGGTTGCCCCCAGTTTTACCCCTGCCAGGGTTGCCCCCACCAGGGTTGCCCCCACCAACGTTGCCCCCGCCAGGGTTGCCGCCGAGTTAGGGTTGCCCTTGGCAGGGTTGCCCCGCCAGGGTTGCCCCCGCCAGGGTGACATTGCCCTCGCCGGGTTGCCCTGTCAGGGTTCCGCGCCTCCTGACGTCGCCTACTCAGGAATTGTGCACCTTCTCTGCGACGGCCCTACCCACCTCGTCCTCTTCGCGCCTGGCGAGGCTTCGTCGTCCTTCTCTATGAAGGTTGCCGAGCAGGGCTTCAAGTGCCATATGGGCCCCAGATGCTTGAAGGGCCCTGTCAAAGTTCTCTATTAATTAATTGCCAGGGTTTCCCATTAGTAGTCGCCCCCGCCAGGGCCCCGCCAGGGTTGCCCCCGCCAAGGTTGACATATATATATATATAGAGAGAGAGAGAGAGAGAGAGAATAAAAGAAATTGTTTTTATACAAAACAACCTCGCCTTGCCCCTTCCAGGGTTGCCCGTGCCAGGGTTGCCCGTGCCAGGGTTGCCCCCGCCGCTGCCCTTGGCTTGGGCCAAAGAAGCCCTTGCGCCAGCGGGTGGCCGGGCCTTCCGCGCTTGGCCTTCGCCATTCTGCCATATGGATGAGCTTGGGTCCGGAATTGGGCTTGAGGGTCACAGTATGGGTGAAACAGATTGTCCCGCTCCCTGTTGATCCAGGAAAGTGTAGGCTCAAGCAACAGCAGCAGTCAACACGTCCCACCCCGGCCAGCGGGGAGACTCGAGGTGTAAGCCCCCTTGATAGGGGGGCCGTGGAGGGTAGACGCTCTAAACCCGAAAAAGGCGGCAGTTTGGGTGGCTGGGGTGGGATCCGCTGCACCGAGGCGGCCCGACCCGCCACCACTGGCGCGGGTCGGGACCGCGGCACTTTGGAACACCCTATACCCTAAACCTTATACCCTAAGCCCTAAACCCTAAACCCTGAAGAGCCCTGAAGCTGCGAACCTTGAGCCGGTTGGTTGACGTGTCAGCAGCTAACCCCATCGGCTGCCCAAAGCCAACGGACTGTCAGATGGACTTGGAGTTCATGCCCTACTACTTCTGGGTCTGCATGTGGTGCTCCCTGTTTACGATCCTGGTCTCGATCTTCGATCTGTGTGCCCTCATGAAGCACGTGACCATGTTCAGCGAGGACGCGGGTTTGCGAGGTTGAAAGGGGAGGGCCGGGAAGGGTCGAAGGGTTTGCGGGCAACACTGAGGGTCGAGGCGGTTCTATCGGCCTCTAAAAGTTTCAAAGCTAAAAGAAAGGCTCTACAAGCCTTTAAAGGCCTCCAAATGCGTCGAAAAGCCTCGAAAAGCCTCAAGGCTTTCAAAAGCCGCAAGCCTTCTTCAAAGGCTTCTAAAAGCCTCTGACAGCTTGCAACAACCTCTAAAGACTTCTAGACTCCTCGAAGAGCATTTAACAGCCTCTCAGGCCTTCCAAAATCTGAAAACGAAAGGCTTTTAAGATCTTTTTCAAGCAGAAGCTTGTAAACGCTTTTCAACGCCTTCAAAGTTTTTCTTAGATAGAGCTTCTAAAGGCTTTTCAAAGCTTTTCCAAGCAAGCCTTTCAAAGTTAAAACAGTCTCTAAAAGCTTTAAAGGCCCTTGAACAGCAAACTCTGAAGGTTTCGTATTCAAAGGTATTGAAAGCCTTGCCAAGCTTTAGAAGGCACCGAAAGAATTCAAAAGCCTTTCCAAAGCTTCTAAATGGCTGTGAAGGCTTCTAAAGGCTTCTACAAAGCCTTTAGAGAAACAAGCCTGTGCGAAGCTTCTACAGCACGCAAAACCTTTAACATCCTAAGGACTTTTCGAAACTTCTCAAGGCATTTGAAAGCCGTTAATAGCACCTTTGAAAGCCTCTAAGTTCTAGATGCTTTTATACGCCTCTAAGGCCCCTAGAGGCCGCTAAAAGCCTTTGAAACTCATGTAAAGGTTTGAGAAAAATTTGTAGGGGCCTGCAACAGCCTCCAAACGCCTCTAAAGGCGTCAAGCCTGCAAAAGCCAAAAGTTTTTTAAAGGCCTCTACAGGCCTTTGACATGCCTTTAAAAGCATTCAAAAGCCAACTCCAAAAGCCGCTTAAACCCTGAACACTAAACCTTGGAAAACCCTGAGGTCTAAGAACCCTAGAACGTACAATTCTTAAACCCTAAAAGCCCTAACGGCGAAAGCAACCTGAACCCCATCAGAACCCTATACCCTAAAAAGACACGTTTGGTTTTTTCGATGACTACCTCGGTTGCTGATGGTGCTTATGGCTATATCCCCCTTGGGAATTATTTTATATTTTTGTTTATATAAAACCCCAGAGGATATTAAGAATATTAGTTTTATTAAGGTTCTAAGGGGAGCATAGATGGAGGCTACTCGCAGTTGTATGCTTTCAGCCGAGCCCATGGAGGCAACGTTCTTGTGCTTGATCGATATAGCCCTGTGCGACTCGAAGGCCGTTGTTCTCTGAGCGCGCGCTGCTTGCCATCGCGACCGTGAACGTATAACCCAAGTATAACCATGTTAGCGCACTTAAGGGGCTTGTAAGTGGGTTATGAGTACCCCTAAGCCTTAAACCCTAAACCCTAAACCTTAAACCCTAAACCCTAAACCCTGGGTTCTGAGTTGGCTCAAGCCTCGGAGGCTAAGCTTTTGCGCGCCGCGATCAAGTCTGCAGGGGGGCTTCCGCGGGTCGGCGCGAGTGCCAGTGGTTTTCCGACTGACCTGTGCACTTGGTGCTTAGAGGTTCATGGTACTTATTAACCAGTTATAATTGTACTTATAGCTGTACTTATGACCATATTAGAGCACTGAAAGGGCTTATAAGTGGCACCCTGTCGGTCTAGAATTTCATTCTTTCGTGAGGACATCTTTGCGGGGCTCATCTCGCTCATCTTCATCATTGACGGAGTGCTGCCAATCATCCGCAACTTCACGGACAACCAGATGTCCTTGACAGGTGCGATGTTTGAGACGCTGCTCTTTGTCTACACTTTCGGTGACGAGGCTGCACTAGACATGCTGGAGGCCCCAGAGCTCACCACTGAACCCCAAAACATTACCTAAACCCTTGAGAACTAAGTGACCAAGTCCCCAAACCCTCAGATTTGCTAAGTTTGAACCAACATGCATCTCGAATACCTCTTTCTATATCGAACATGTCTGCGGCAGGCAAAAGAACCTGATCCAAACCTTTGAACTCTCAACTCTCAATCTAGCGCTGCTACCGAGGCCTCGCCTCGTACCTGTCGTACTTCCGTCGCACCCCGTGGCTCATCCGGGGGGCTCGTGGCTGGGATGCTCTTGAGAGCTTCGTTGTTTCTGTAACTGTCCAGATTTCAGCTAAATTGGAGAACGCGTTGAAAACCACCAGAGATTGCAGACTTAGCTTGCGAACATTTGCGAACTGAACAAGCATCGAGGCAACCTCATGGCCAACTTCGCGGTGACCATCGCATTGGTGTCGGCGTCCGCCCTGGCAGCCATCTACTCTACCGAGACGAACCTGCGCATGCTTACCGTTGATGCCGACTTCTCCCCGTCCCTGACACTGGCCACTGGCGAGAAGCGCAACTGGATCGTGAATCCCATGGGCATTGAGAAGGACTTCCCCTTGTGGGGCATCCCGTGCCTTTGGCGCACAACAAGCCCCCAGTTCGTTTAGGTAACATGCCTTCTCATTCTGGGAGTTCGAGAAGCCCTCCCCCAAGACACATTGGCTTCCTTACATTGTAGCAGGTACGTTGTATTGCCCCTTCAAGCCTTGGTTTTCAGCCTGGGGTCCTTTTTAAGAATGCCAGAGGTCGGTCATCTAAAGCAGACTTCAGGCTGGTGTCGTCAACAAATGTTCTGGAGGTATGCAATGAGCCTGACGTCCTGACAAAAAACCCGCGAGGTATGCAATCTTGCCAGCGATCGGCTTCGCAGTGTTGGGGTACTTGGACCAGAGTCTCGGTGCAAGCAGCCACATGTGCTCTCAGCAAGTTATGTGTAAGAACGGTTTGTTGCAGTTAATTGCAAGAGAAGATTTCCTTCTTGTTGAGGCATGTAAACACTCTACCCGTGTATATCTGGCAGCAACTATTTCGGAGATGTTTTGATTTCTCTCCCTCACTCTCTGTCTCTGTCTCTCTCTTTCTCTATCTCCCTGTCTCTGCATGTGAATATTCCACACATGCAGTAACAAGTACAGCCATTCGGATCTTGGGGCGTATCCCAACGCCACGTATAATTTTTCGTCAACGCAGCCCGCCTTCACCAGAAGTTCTCCAAGGGTTTCGGGCCTAGGCGAGGGACCCTGACCAGAGGGCCACCAAGGAATCCAAAACATAACTCAGAGAGTGTTCCACAGAGGACTGGGGGCCCTAGAAGAAGCTCGAGTCCGCAGAATGTCGTAGCAAGGCATAGGGGATCATAGGAGGTCCGTAGCACGTCCATCGGAAAGGTCCATGGAAGGTTCCATAAAGGTAAGAAGGGTTGACAGGGGTTGCAATCGTGGGAAGTGCATGAGCTGTGGAGGTCGGTCCAGAAAAGGACCATAGTGCTCCGAAGGTCCCTACAAGGTCGGGGGCGGTTCGGCTCAGAAAGAGGAAGCTGCACTCCAAATGCCTTAAATGGCTTTTAGAGGCCTCGGCAGAGTCGGGTTTGGAACATCTTTGCCCAACATGCAAGGAATCTGACCAGTGTCATCGTCAACCGGCCCTCCAACGGCCTGCCACTTGCTTGCGTTTGGGCTTGCGTAGGGGGCGTCACTGAGAGGCTTTCGGCTCCGTGGGCAACTGTATGGTATGCCCTCCACGGTCCTCAGAACTTGCAGCTGAAGGCGAGATCTCAAGCTCTTCCCGCCGAGCTGGACCCTAGGGTTTAGGGTTTAGGGTTTGGGGTTTGGGGTTTAGGGTTTAGGGTTTAATCACTTCCAGGAGAAGGCGGCTCCGGGTCCAGAATTTGCCTCCCAGAGACCTGAACCCCCAAGCTCCCGAAAACTTGTTGGTTAGCAGGGAATGAGGGAATGAGGTACCCTACCCAATCCTTCAAAGGGTATATATATATATATACATGTATATACATATATATATATAGAGAGAGGATATAGGGTACCTCATTTCCCTCATTCCCTACTAACCAACAGTAAGCAACGGATCCAATCCTGCTCTCGGTGGAGTGGCGGCCCCCCAGCACCCCTCGGCGGATTAGGGGCCCTTGGGGTTGCACAGGTTTGTCCAGGGGTCTAAGGATGTCGGCCCGCACGGCAGGACCACCCGGATGTAACGACATGCAGCCTCAGCCTTTACGTACGCAGGCTCGAGGAATCTTTGGAGTTAGGGTTTGCAGCTCTGAAACTGCTTAAGGCAGAAGCCGCCTGGCTACCACCTGGATTCTGGATGACCTGCTTTGGAAAGTTTTGTTTTTCGTTTCAGTTGGTTCCATGCATAAGGAACCCCAAGAGTCATATTTTTTCAAACGTTTCCCAGGTGCCCCAAGATGCCCCAAGATGCCCCAAGTTGCCCCAAGAGCAGTTTAGGATTTGTTCATTCGCGGAGCGCTGACGCTGCCAGCCTGCGCTGTGCCACTTGTCCGTCTGCATGCCATCCCAGCATGTTGTTCGCATGCCCCTCCAAAAGGTCTTAGGGACAAGGGTTTAGTCAGTTGCTGTTGCCCCGGCCAGAAACAAGGTGCCCTAAACCCCCCCGCACCCTTGTGCGAATGACTGGCTGCATTGTGTTTTCACGCAGGGTCAAGGGCGGGGCCCTGAACCCTAGCATCTCATTCGAGCACCTCAACTGTGAAGCCAAACTCACAACAGTTCCAAAGTACGCTAAACGGAAGCACCAAAGCCTCTCGAAGCCCCTCAAGGGCCTCACAGCCCTCAACCCAACCCCCCCACAGAAACAGGCTCGGCCTCCCTTTGTCCGTGGCCTCCACTGTGCCCAGCATCACGCACGTCATCTCCCTGACCACTTATGAGGTCAGCGCTGGGGGGGGCTGGGGCTTTCGGGGGGAGTCTGAATTGTGGGGGCGACGTGCCACCGTCACTGTGATGTTTTTGGGGTGTTCACGTATCTAGAGCATCTCCAGGACATCTTTGTGGGCTTGGCACGAAGTTGTCACAAAACATCGCCAAAGTTCATAGAAGTGTCGTAAACTGAAGCGTAAGCCTTATGAGCCCTGAGCACTGCATGCTGACCACTGGAAACACCCTAATCCCTGAACCCCCGAAACCAAAATTCATCACCATGGCAAAGGTGAAGCAGCTGCCCCAGGGCGAGCGTAAGGTGCCGACCAAGGCAAACCGTGGTCCAGGGTCAGCTCTCCGACGTTGGTTCTTCATGCTTAGGAGCTCTAGGGTTTAGGGTTTAGGGTCCTTCTTGAATCCTAATCCACTCCACTTCAGGAAAGCTTGTCCCTCAGCGCTCAAGCCGAACCTCTGAACCTGCACTTCAAGCTTCGACAGTCTGTCCGAGCTCTTGGTTTGCGGTGCTCGGAAGGTGGTGGAGCAGCGGGCTACGAACTTCCTGCCGCTGGGCCTGTGCTTGGAATCCAGGTTCGGTGTTTCGGAGGCTTAGGGCGAGAGCAGCTTCTTCGTTGTCATGAACTCCCCTAAACCGTAAACCCTCAACCCTAAACCCTAAACCCTAAAGGAGTTGACTTGGGCTTCGAACCTAAGCCCAGGCTGAAGCCTTCCCTCAAAGCCTGCATGTAAGCCCTCAGCCCCCCACTTTGAGTCAAGCCGAGCGAACATTCCATGCTCGACCCCCCCCTTGACATCCTGCAAGGCTTCGGGTGGCTTGCTTGCCGAGGGTCTTTAGGACCCCAAAAAAAGGTGTCAAAAGATGAGGCTCGAGGCTTGGGATGTCGGGTTTGGGCCAAACGGTTGAGGATGCAGCTTCAGGGCTCACAGGATTTCAGGATTTCAGGGGGATGCTCCGCGCATCCTAAGGATCCACGTGCTCATTGGCTGCGCCTTGTTCATGGCGCCGGTTCTGCCACTTGGGCATAAGGGAGGGGGGTTGATGGTGACGCCTCTCCCAGCCCAGCACGAGCCCTCAGATGTCCCAAACTGTGACCTATCTCCTCCCCTTGGTAGGCCAGAAACCATCTTCTAATAAGGGCACCTTTTTTGGGGTTGGTTAACATTATAAGGGAACCCAGAACCAAAAAAAGAGTAAAGCCAACTGAAGCCTCCAGACTGCCGACCCTGCCTTGAAATCCGGCGAACTTTCTTCGGGTGGCTGCTCGTGCCCAGGAAGTTCCTTCCCCGGGCCGTCCTCCAGGGCGTCTTCTTCTACATGGGCATTGCCTCCTTGACGGGCAACAACCTCTTCGACCGCATGCCCCTCTGCGCCGCAAACGCCCAGTCAGCGGGATCCAGACATACTCTTGTACTATACAACAGAAGTACTACGTCTTTATGTAAAAATAGTACACCTCGTGTAGTATTGAACTTAGCTTCTACGGACGTGGTGCTGCAGAAACTACGTAACGCTAAGCCTAAGGTAGGTACCTTGTCACCACCACAGCTGTGCAACTTCAGCCTTTCTGCCACGAAACCCCCAGCTTGATGAGCGAAATCCGTGGTCCGAGGTTCCTGTGGCTGATCTGGGACCCAGCCAAGTACCCTCAGTACCACTACATCCAGAAGCTGCCCATCAAGAGGGTCCACCTCTACACCTTCGTGCAGGCCCACATTCTGTGAGGTTTCAAGGAGGCTGTCCCTTTGGTGCCCTTCTTCTCGCGCTTTTTTTCGGTTTAGGTAGTTATAGAGGCTGCTTAATCTCTACGACATGGGGTTGGGAGCATTGGACTCATGCTGTCGATGCCTTACACCTGTCTAAAGAAGACTCTCACCCTCGAGCCATTGAGGTATGTGCTGGCCACTCCCCACCCGACAGCAGAGCTGGCACCCAAGTGATCCTGAAATCCTCTACACTCAACATCTCTAAACTACGACAAGAAATGCCCAAACTCCGTAAATCCTCCGCAATCCACCCAGAAACTACATGTTCAGGCTTTGTGTTTCGGTTTTGTCTCTCCAATGCCCCGCCGAGTTCATCTGCCTTGGCATCCTGTACGGTCTCAAAGAGATCAAGGACGCGTCCGAGTTTGTATAGGCTTGGGGGATGTTTGGGGCTTTCAGCCTTTCTTCGCAAGGTCTTTATATGCCAAATCTCACGTACTCCCCACGCACCCAGCATTCCTCACAGGAGACTGCCGTGGTCTTCCCCTTCTTCATGGCCTCCCTGGCTGTCATCCGCAAGGCATGTGGACCAACATTCGAAGTTGCACGAACACCTCGAAGACCCTGGTGCCCTCGGCCCTAAACCCCAAAGAGACCGTAACTTGAGGATGGGATTGAGGAAGCTGCGGGGGGTATTCAAGCATTGGTTGCCCCAACACGAACGTGCTCAAAATTGGGGGGCCCTAGTTGGGTCCCTTTTTCATCCTTGTTCTAATGCAGAGCCTGATACATCTGGGGGTATGTACCCAAGAAGGGATCGTGTTGTGGTCAACTGCTCACATGAGTGATAAGTGCCAGCGCCGCCGAAGATTCCCACAGCGTCTGCTTTGGCTGTGCGTTCTCTCGATACCTTTCAGGGAACGGTTGTTAGATGCCGTTTTGTATACTTACACCCTAATTACAACCTTGGACCCTGAGCCCTATATAGAAAATTCGGCGTAGGCCGCTTTTGTAGAGCATGCGTGCTGCTCATACGCCTTGCACGGGCTCTACTGATGGTCCGCTTGCCGAGAAGATTTTTTTGGCACGTCAGGGATAATGATGGATGATGGATGATGCATGATGGATGATGGATGATGGATGATGATGGTGATGATGATGATGATGATGACGATGTGTGAAACTGGGAACACCATGCAAGACGATGCGCGCCTCCCAGCATAGGGCAACACTAACTCGAACGAGGCTCGAGTGAGCTTTGCCCGGTCGCTGCCCCAAAATGTTAAGGTAAGATGAGCAAGAATGATATGATATGCGTGTTTCTGTTCGTGTATCAAAAGGATTGAGAAGAAGCGCTTGTGGTCACGTGAGCTCCGCTGGCCGTGGATGTGACACGCATTCTTTCCCAAGCACCCCCAATGCAGACAGTAATGAACAACCCTCAGGGGCGCGGTTGACCGCTTAGCGCTTGTGGCTTATGGTGATCATGCCGGCTAATTACGCGCACGCGCGCGCGCGTGCGCGCGAGACGCAGCATGATCCTAGCCAATGGCTCACACCCTCAACTCCTACACTTGCCTAAGAGACGCTGAGCTCAATCTAAACGTGACTGAAGCCATGGGCGTCCCGCGAGGCCATGCGCTTCATGTTCACCCAGGAGGAGCTGGAACTCCTGGATGGCCATCCTGCCGAAGACCCGGACGAGGCGCGCGACCTCCGAGAGTTGGGTCCCTCCAATATACACACCCCTTAAAGGGGATTCTATAGGGTACCTCCTATATATACCGAGTTCTATTCATAGGGTACCTCATACTAAGAACCAGCCAGTTTTGGGGGGGCTCAGAGCAGGCTTGGGGCTTTCCAGCTCAGGGCGCACGTCTCCGAAGCCTCAGCCCGGAAGATTGCTACATATGACCCCAGGTTGAAGCACATGCAACCCTACTTCTGACCACTGATGTGACCCCATGAGCCTGCAAGGCATCGATGGCCGAGCAGGTCGAGCAGCCCGACATCTTGAACTTGGAGCCGGTGAAGGCTGGCGAGGGGAGGGGGCCTTAGGGGTTTAAGGCTCAGGCTCTGGAATCCCTGAGCCTCAAAAGCCTCAAGTCCTCGACCTTAAACCCTAAACCCAAAACCTTAAACCCTAAGCTCTAAAGCCTAAACCCTAAACCCTTAACCCTAAGCCCTGACGGCATAACGAAACCGTTACCTGAAGGAGGCCCAGGAGGCTGCGGCGGAGGCTGGGGAGCACTTGCGGCACCGGATTTGGGGTTTCAAGGGCTGGGTTTAGGGTTCAAGGGTTCAGGAGTTTAGGGATTAGGGTTTAGGGTTTAGGGGTGTTTTGAGGTCTGGGGGCTGAGGTATTCAGGTTCCCAGGTGCAGTGGCTCAGTGCAACTCCGAGTCCTGCACATGAGTCTGCTGTAGCCTCCCATTTTGCAGAGCATAAGCTCCCAAGAATCGTATGCAACTGGGGTTCGAGGTGAGCTTTCGGAGTTCAGCTTTCCTTAACCACTCTACGGGAGGACTGCGCTCAATGGCACAGACAACTTCAAGCGCCTGTTTGTGAGGAGCCCGACAAGCCCGAGACGAAGTTGTGAGCCAAATTACAAGCGCCGAATTGTTTGAGATTGTGTGTGCGTGCCACCAAGCACACGCCTCCAAGGGGTTGAGCTTGGAACTAGGAAGAGTGGCCTCTGTTCTTGGCATTGCATATTGTTCGGGTGATGTGCGCTGGGGCGTGTCTGTGTGAATGAAGCACGCGCCGACTAAAAATTTTCTAAGGCCTTGGAATTGCCAAGGTCTGTTCGGGATTCAGCGCGACTTCAAGGGATCTGGAAGGGCTACTGCGCCACTTGGGGATCAACTCCTTTGCCGAAGCACTGCTCCCAAGAGTTGTCGCTGATTTCCGAGTCCGTTTCGTCAAAGCCCGGCACATTGGATCGGGACACGGTTTTGGCCGAAGGACTTCCCAAAGGGCTCAAGTCCGTAGCGGCAGAATGTTTCTAGATCGAAGCCAAGCCACACGGCAGGCGACCGTCTTGGGTCAGAGTGTAGGTAGCACGAGTGATCGCATTTGGGCCTACGCTGCCTTTCCCGCGGATGCCGTGTAGCTGGTGGCTTCTAATGCAGCCAGAAGAGAGCAGCAGCTTGGCGTTGTTGCCTTCGCCTTCTGGCACGACGCCCAGGGGACCCACTCGCTGGGACCTTCTGGGCGTTATACCCCGGGGTCATATGGCTCCATACCAGATTTTCAATTCTTGCACGGCGAAAATTTGAGCCACAAGTGGGCAGTGGCGCCTCTTTGGTTTTCTTTGTTGGCATGATTGAGCAAGATTTCCTTGACAGATGTATGCCGGACATTGCCGCAAGCACTTCACGTCGAGACTTCATGTAGCATTGTCTCCTGCACACTCAACTCTCCGATCCAAAGCCCTCAGTCTCTAACGCGCATTTCCGTGAACTTCATTGCCTTGCGCGCCATGGCAGTCAGCGAAGCAAGCGACCCAGATATTCCGAATGCAGAAGAGCAGTTTCGAAAATCATGCATGAAAGATGCGAGTGGAAGTGGTAGTTGGGATTCTGCAATACAATAGCTTAACAACTGCCATCGTAATTCGTGCCCACTGTCGTGCTAGTAACGTTGAGAACCATCTGGCAACGAACCAGCCCATGATCCTAAACCTTCGGCAGCATCTTGAAGCTCGGCCAACATGGTTTTACTTGTGTACTGTTCGTACCGTGACAAGAGGATCACGGCCACCACGCCCGCCGCGACTTTCACTACATAATGCTACCACCATCACCGCATCATCACCACCATCACCATCATCACCATGATCACAGTCAGCACAGCCGCGACGACTACGGCCACGACCTCGAGACACAAGCTATTCGTATCAATCTTCTATCTACGATGTGCTAGTGTTGCTGCTTCTGTTTCTGTTTGGTGCCTCAAGTACATAAGTCCTGCGCAGCTCTGATCATGTGCTTAAGTTGTCTGCAAGCCATTGTTCGGCCACCTAGTCTTTCACACTGCTGTGAGGACCAAAAACTAGCCCATTGATTGGAGACGTGCCTGGATCTCACAGGGTTGTAACTTAAGTACCCTAAACCCTAAACCCTAAACCCTACACCCCAAACCCTAAACCCTGCTCAGGCTGGAGTGGACATAAGCAGAGGGATGATTCTCAAGATGATGCACGGATAGCATGATTAATGTATATACGGACTGCATCTGAATGTGTAGGGATATTGGAGGTGTACCCAGAGCAAGTCCAAACCTCTAACCGGACCTCTTTCCTGACAGCTGTTGGTTTGACCCTGAACCAGATCGGAACTTGGTTTTGGCGGTTTTTTTGTAATATGACGGAAACATTGTGCCGTTCTGAATGCAGACTGCAGCCCATCTGTCTTCCAAGTGTTCCTGTTTTTCATATTGCTAATGTTGCTACTGCTTCTTTGTTTTCCATTGGTGTTAGGTCTATTGTTGTTGCCATGAACACGTTTAGGGTTGTCATTGTTCCTGCCACGAACATGACGGTCTTTATGTCCATGAACTTGATTACTCTAATTGCTAATCTTCATTGGCATCATCTGGGTGCATATGTTAGGGTGCAGGGTTTAGAGGTTTACCGGAATGAAGCCTCTGAAGTAGCTTCTCCAACTTCTCGAGCTCGAGGCCAGGAATGTTTAGAGGAAGCACAAGACCAGATTTGATCCCTGAGATGATCGTGTCCTGAGGTTGTGCTTGGTAGTGCGTGGGCTTAGAGTATGTGATTTCACCGGGCACATGGGCGAAGTTCACAGATTACATAGAACTCCAAGGGGAGATCCATGGATCAATACAGCCCTTACCCAATCAGAGCTATTTGTACCTGCGTACCTCCGCAAATTTTTGCAGTAGCTGTTGTAGTCTGGGTTCTGAACCGAAGGTCTCCCTCAAACTCTCAGGTTGTGCGCAATCGACGCCGTGCTCACGAGGCTGACTGGTACGTTGCCAAGCACTGCCAGGCTACACCAATGGTGTGATCTCTGCCACTTAAAATGTCGGCTGCATGCGGCTGGGCGTGATGCTCAAGATCTGCAACTTCCGCACTGTGAAGTAGATCCAACCTGTAATTTGGCTCGTTTTGGCCGCGCCCCAGCCCTGTGAAGAAGCCTCAGTGATTTTCCCACAGCTAGATGGCGCGCAAGATTCGGGAGCTCGGGGCTTACTGTCTGGGCACGTGATTCCTCGATCATACTTACAAAACATCGGATATGCGCTTTATAGAACTTCTATGTGTTTTAAGACAGGCCCCTATAGACATCGTGACATGTTTTAAGGCGCCCCCCCCCTTGGTTCAGGGTTCAGGGGGCATCCCCTACATCCACGAGGTACCAGAGAAGCGTGGTTTAGGGTTTAGGGTGTAGGGTTTGGGTTTCGGATTTAGCAAACAAATGCTGATTATCGTTTGTTATTACACGGCTTGGCCCGGATATTTCAGCCCTCAACCCCCCAATCTGCCCCGGCCGACCAGGACCTCTTTCACCCTCGTTTGTGAATCACATCCTAGCGTAGGCTAGACGGCGTCTCCGTCGTGGAGTGCCATAACACCAATGAAGTCCAGTTCGAAAGCAGCGCCATCAGCCCCGAACCCCAAATCTTGGGGCTGTGTGCAGGCAGTCGCCCGGCCATCGAATGAACTGCTTCAGTATACTGATTTCTGAGGGAACAGTACGTGTTTGCTGGTGGCTGATGTGTTTGGGGTTCAGGGGTGAAGAAGCGTCGTCTTCTACCAGGTGCAGCAGATCATTCGAGCAGGTTCAGATCAATGTTCGAGCGATCTCATATCATTCTGGCATCGGAAAAGCACTTGTGCTCAGAGTATCGCTGCAAGCGGTTGGCATTGTTCACGGAACCTTTGGAACTTAGAGCCTTCTTTGACTCAATCCTAAGCCACATGCATCCTGACTTGGACTGGCGGAAGTCCTGGATAGTGATGTTGCTCTGGCGCTTTGGGCCTGAGGGTGTGATGGCGCTCGACATACCCTCGTTCGTCTTGTCCCGTTGATCACGAGTGTCAGAGATTATCAGGGTATCACTCTTATTTGGGTTCTTTGCATTGACATCTTTTCATAGTTTTCACATTCATCCCCAAAGCCTTTGCCAAGCCTCAAACCTCAGGCTTCTGTCTTTTCTGCCGAAAAGGGCCCACTGTTCTTGGACGATTTTGAAGGTCGAGCTTCCGGGCTAGGGTTGGGCTTGCATGACACTGCAAAGCTGCTTTGGAGGTGCGGGACTGAAAGCTGGGTTTGCGCAGTGCTTTCGCTCAAAGCCCGAAGCTCCTCAAAATTCGAGAGGCAAAGCCTTCTGCGTGTGCCCTGGACCTGTCAGTCAGAATCACCTGCAAGGCCTGCGCGCACAAGAGCTCAACGGGCGACTCGGTGCCAATCTCATTTGAAAGTTTTCATGGGTAGCTCGGATTCCTGGTCTGATGCCCTCTTGTCGTTCTCCTTTCGGGCTCACATCATGATTACCCCTACCCTGCCCCCCCGACCCCCGACCGGGATGGCTCGAAATCGTGCTCTGTCAGTCGTGCTCGAAATCGCTCTCTCGCATGATGCGCAGTTGCACTGCGGTGCTTTTGGAGTGCTCTTGGTGTGCATGCAGGTTATTCTTTGTTCTATAGGTAGGTTGCCGTCTGCGTGCTTTTGAAGCCACCCTGCCCACTCGAGCCTGGGCCTTCCTGGACCCCCAAAGAAATCGCGCTCGGAGCTTTGTTCTCCGCCCCGTCGTATGATTCTATTCCTGCTCCAAGCGCTGTCCGGTTTTCGACGCGTAGAAGGAGGAGGGAGAGCAGCGTCAGCAGAACAAGGGTTGTTAGGGGAAGGAGTAAATTAGCTAGTGGTCCTAGTGCAGGTGGTGGCGTTGTGGTGGGCGGCGGCGTGGTGGTAGCTATGCAAGATGTGGATCCCAGCTCTGAGCAAGCAACAAGTTTCCAATTTCAGAGAACGAGCAGTGATTTGCACATTTTCCGCATGTTGGGAATCTCCTCCATGTTTCCAAATGCTTAAGCAAGTTAGCGACGAAATAAAAACATAAGACATGAAGAAATAGCGAGCGAACAAAAACACAGAGAACCTAGGGGGAGTAGTGTAGAGGGGGGAACCCATGACCCACGTCCTTTGTGCAGCGTCGCTTGCTGCAATGGGCCTCCCGGCCAAACCGCAGTGGCCTTGTTTCTCCGCTCCTTGCTTTTGTGGTGTCGGCGCCTACAGCTACCCCTAAGCCCTAAACCCTAGACCCTACACCCTAAACCCCCCAAAACATTCAGACGTTGAGGCCTTCGCCCGATAAACCTTCGCGCAAAGGCGGGTTGAGACTTGGAGACCCCTTCTCAACAGAGATGTGGAGCTAGCATTTCCATCGCCCTTGGGATTCAGGGTCAGAACCTGGGGTGGGGCATGGCCATGCAGAGTTTCCGCCATCAAGCTTAGGGCCCTAAGCTGTACCCTGAGCCCAAAACCCTGTGAATGCAAAGTCCGTCAAACCTGTAGCCTGAAGCTCCTGGTAGAGTCGAGGCTAGCTTCGGAACCTAAGCAGTCCGTGCAGAACACTTGCTTCCCAGAAACATTGTCTTGGAGAAGAGTTTCATCGCAGTTACGTATTGGGTGAAAGAGAACAGGTGTTGATGATGGCTGTTGGCTTGCCGGATGCCTCATAGAGATTAGAGATCTGGAATTACTGCCCCGACGACATGACGCGTAGAGGCATGGAGGAATCGTGAACACTCTTTTCACGGGTTCGTGGCATGTCCCATTGTCCCAGTTGTCCCATGCAGGTGCTTGCCCGTATTGATGACCGCAAGGTGCAAACCTGAAGAGATGGATTCGGCTCTGTGAGCCTCTGTGGGGGACTTCAGGTTTCGGAGACTAAAAACCCTAAACCCTAAAACACCCTAAACCCGAAAAACACTAAACTCTTAGAAGCCCTAAACCCTAAAAGCCCGAAACCCTAAAACCCTAAACCCTAAAAGTCCTTAGAGGGACTTCAGGTTTCCGAGGCAGAGCTATTGCTCATGGCCGAGGCTCCAGGTTGTGCCAGGTGCCACTTGAGTGCTGGCAAAGCTCAATGGTACTTGTGCTCCTCCTCGTCCTCATCATCATTCGTAGCCTTAATGTGTGCAAAGCCGTGTTGCTTTCGTTTCTGTTCTGCCATTCTGGGAAGTGGAAGGGCACCCCTTTGTCTTTCTTGCTGGCAGGAAATCCAGCGCCTTCAGCAACATGCTCAGAGACAGGTGCGCGCAAGAAGCATTGGTTCTCATGCCCCTAAATGCCCTCAAGCCTTAGCCCTCTGCCCCAAACTCCTAGGCTTTAGACGACCAAACCTTACCCCTTCAACCCTCATCTCCAGACCCAAAACTTGTTCCTTGGCCTGCTGGTCTATTTGGATGTTTCGGAAAACCCTGTTATAGTGCAGTCGCAATGGCCGCCTCACTATTCCTTCATGATTCCTGTTTACTCGCAAGTTTCCTGAGAGCACAGTTTTTGAGGAACGGGCGTAGTTTGGGAAAGTCCCTTTCTAACCCTAAGTTCTGAATTTAAATCTTACCCTAAATCGGTAATTATGGTAGTCAGAAGATATATTCCAACAGTGCTGACAGTAGACCCTGCAGAGCCGAAAAGAAGTAGGACGTTTATTGCTGTCATTGATGGGGCTTTCATTTAGTGTTGTGCATTTAGGGCCGAGTGTACATAGGGCTCCTGCATAATCTCGGCGAGTGTATATATGAGGTGTCCGTTTCAGGATGCTAGTGATAAGGATGAACCCTTGATGACAAACTGTTGTTGTCCGGTGCTGTGCTGTGGACAAAGTTCCCGTTGCCTTCGAAGCCCACGCACGGTCCTTAAATGCGCATTTGCCTAAACTAATATTGAGGGGTGTTTTTTATAACCCCGCATATTCCTTTTGTACGACTCCTTTTGAAGAGTAGAAGTTGGTAAAACTGCCGACAAGCAATGCCAGGAAAGGTTCATCATTGATCTGCTGCAAGCCCTGCGGGGGGGGGGGGGGGGGCTGTGGTTCAGAGGCTCAGGGCTCACTGTTCCAGGAGCTACCCACATACCACGAAGTTATTGAGAGAGTTGCAATAGAGTTGTGAAGTGTTGCGATCTCTACGGGAAAAAACCTTCATACATCAGTTTTTGCCTAACCCTCCATGGAGTGAAATTTTCAACCAGTTCCAACCCGAAGCAGCAAACTCCCAAGTCCATCTGACCAATCAAAGGCGTTGTAAGCCCCGGATACGGATCCCATGTATCGTTTGAACACGTCACTGGTGTCCTAAGCTTATGAAGTGGTTCGAAAATCCGAGTCTTACCAATTGGGCAAGTCGTTGTGCGTGGGGTCAGCTGTTGTCGGGGGAGGTGGTTGGGTATTGAATTTGGACAGCAGCCCAAGAAATCGTAATCCTGAGAAGTCTCAGAGCCTAGGGCCTGGACCATGAATCCCAAGGGCGCAATTTAACGTTGGGAACATGAGCAACCCTCAAGGCTTGAAGCCCTTGCATTGCCCAGCCAGTCGCACGATGTAGGGGAGATCATGAGGTGGGCGGAGCGCTTGGCGGCTTAGACAGGGGCTGCGTTGGAAACGCGGAAACATGCTTGGACATATCCTCAGCAAAGAGTATTATCTGCAGGGAAGCTCCCTTGACCTGCAGCAAGCTCAGCTCCTAATCCCCAAACTCCAAACCCCAAGCCCCAAACCCAAAACCCCTCAAACCCTTCAAACGTTTCCGGCCTGACATCCAGCATGCGAAGCGTTTCTGTTTTGGGCGACAGGGCCCTGAAGGCAAGGACCACTACTCTAATCCTTAGTGGAAGCCCCCGCAAAACCCTCACAAGCAGCCTAGTAGATTAAGAAGGGAACCATGAAATAAATCAACCGATGGCCAGGCCCCTCAGCTCCTGCGTGAGGAGTGATCGCAATGCGACCTTGGCCCACGTAGTTATGGTGTTTGTTGGTCCTGCAATTTGCTTGCGGGTTGTTCTGCTTGGTCTTCCTCAACCCTAAGCCCTACACCCCAAACCCTTACGCTTAATCTTGGGATCTCGAATTTGCACACAGCTTGGGCAGGGAACGGGATCGGCGGCTGCAGATTCTTTAGAGTACCGCAGTGCGATGCGATTGTGCGAGTGCAGAAAGCTCTGGGGCGCTAAGCGGTCACCATCAAACCGGCTGCTTCCCTGAAGTCCTGCACGAACTGCAAGCAAGAATAAAGTTTAACGGCTCACTACTGGAACATACTCCACTTTGCATACCTCTAGATATCTGAATTCCCTGCTCTCACACAGGCGCAAGCATCTGGACCCCCAATGTCTGGAGGGTTAAGGCAGCGATAACTGATTGTCATTGTTAGGCGGCTGGTATTCAACACCTTTCAACCCTCCCTATACAACTGCATCCATACCATCAAACTGGATATGTCAGTGATGTATATATATATACATATGTGTAGGAGGATCTCAGTGAACACTTTTTGCAGTGTATGCCTTTGCGCGTTTTGCCGGAACCATGAGACAGGATTCGGAAACCAGGACTAATTGGGCTTTCGCTTGTTGTTTTGGAGAGTCTGCCATGGAGGACGGCTTTCAAGCTTTGATGGAGCTTGAAACACAGCGAAGGAAGTATCACTTTCTGGAAGTCCTTCATAGCATGAAGGTGGGAAGCTGAGTCAAAATTTTGATGAGCGCGACGTACGGGGATAAGTTGGTTGGTTAAACGGTGTTGGAGTTGGAAATGGCTGACCCAAAGAAGTTGTTATGTCCAGCTGATGGAGGTAGATGTGAGAGAAACAAGCACAGGCATAGAATGGAACAGGGGAAGAAAGCGTTGAAGATCATTAAGCGTCCAAGAAAAAAGAGTTGGAATCCTCAGTTGCGATAACACAACATAACACCCCGCTAAAAGTTGAAACTCGAAATGTGCATTCGCAGCGGTATCGCAAAAAAAACGTTTGTTGCCGTGCGCCTGGGGTTTGGGCAGAATGCTTGAGGTTCGTGAATGCCCCCACACTCCAAACTCGAAGCACAAGTTCGTCAATGCCGAGGGCATTTTTTGGCTCACAGGGAGTGTCGCTCGCTTCCCACCGGAACTTCGAGGAACATGTCCGAGGCAGCAGGAGTTCTCCGAATCCAGTCCGGATACATCCGGAGTTCCTCCACCAAGGACCTGGTTGCCTCCGGGGGCTTAGGGTCAGTTTCATGGGATTCAAGTAGCTGGCCTGTTCTGAAAGTTGCAAGTTTTCGGTTGCACCACACTTCCTAACGCAGCTGGCCGGCGTCAAGGGCTGTGCTCGAGGCTTCAGGGTTTGGGGTTTAGGGTTTAGGGGGTTCAAGGCTCGTGCTGTACGGTATGGTGCGGGCTTTGGGGTCAAAGCCTGCCTAGCCATCCTCGATGCATGTGTGTCGGGGTCTAGGCAGCGCTGGTCTTGGGGCCTTGATGCACGAATCTGGTCAGGACCCAAGAACGCTTGTAGTCAAAACTTCGCGGTTTCAATTCTGAGACGTTGGCGGTTCGCGTGCTCACCACCGGGCAACATGAATCCTAAATAATTTTCACAGTTCCTTGAACCGGGGCCTCGAAGGCTAAATTTTGACTCAGGACCTCTATGCCAAGCCTCAGCTATCGTTCGCTTGTGAAACTGGTCGCAGGACTTGGGCCCGCTTGAGTTCACTGGGAAAATCGCTGGAGGCGACTGTTCCGAACTGGGGATGTGAGTGTGTGTGTGTGGGTGGGGATTTGTTCACGAAGGAAAGCGACAGCTGCATGCTTGGCTTAGGGTGCGCAATTGCCTTTGCAACCAACAGTTGCATGATGTGTTCTGGAGGCCCGAGACTCTGGAAGGATGTATCTGCACTAAGTTTTCACTTGAGCTGCTCTCACTTCACCAGTTGTTTTGTTGAATGTGTTGCACCCGAAAGCTCTCATGCGTGGATCCGTTCGTGAAGCCAAATTGGGCAAGCTGATGCCCACAGCACACCATATCATCGGCAAATGGTGGTACACCTTGCGG